TAGTTTTTGATGTTTGTATTAATGAAATAATGACCCCTCAGTCATTGAGGTCGTAGATTGCATAGATTCAAGTAACTACCGAAGTGAAACTAACTACTTAATTTGCAGTCACGTGTGTATCAACAACATGGCCTTCTTGATAGCCCCAATTATTCTAAATTCTAACAGTTTGGAGTTTGGGTTTGTTTTCTGTTTTCCATTTTTTTCTCCTACTTGAGCCTATGACTACGTAGGACATTTATTTCCTCCCTGCCTACAGGTCAAGGATACCTATACTAGTAGTATATCCCCTCCTATGCCTCCCTCACAGCTCCCCTCAAACAGTACCGCCCCTCACAAGTACTCATTCGATCATACACTTAGAGGAGCCCTTTGCCCCTCATTATCTCCCCTCTCCAGCCAACGAAACGATGGCCATTTGCGGGTGTATGGCAGCCAGGAAAAATCGCAAAAAACCACTGGGTGCGGAGCTCTCCTAATACCGACATTAGGACTAAATCCGAAGACACAGTGATCCTTCTGAAGCGTTCGAAGAGGCCGGCCAGCCGGCCAGCTGGGCGCTGCACACTTGTGGGTAGCTCGGGAAATTCACACTCTGCCTTTCTAGCCTCCTTCCAACTCCATCCCGAAGGTCGGGTTAAATTTCAGAAAAGTATTGTCAGAGCGTGATTGCTGTATGGTAGCTTAGCCCAATTTCTTTTGTGCCGTCCAGGGCCTTGGTGAGTGCCGTTGACACATCGACAGTAGAATTCCTGCTGGCCAATTAGCCGAAATCTCGGTCTTGGCGCCCACAAACGTTCTAAAGTCGAAAATTTGTCGGAAATATCAGACCTACTATTTCCACAGGAGGTCTCTTACATCTTCCCACGCCCCAGTCGCCTGTCCTTCCTTAAGATGTATTGCCCCATAAGAGCAACAGTTCTCCATAAACCAAGACCCCAATTTTGTATATTATGACTTAATTTCCTCCTTGCGGGTATGCGTAGCGTCGTAAATGTGTAGTGAGTTATGGCCGGTAACAAATGAGGTAAGCTACTGTTTGAAATTGAAGAAACGCCTTTATCGATCGTTGAGGCGAGGAGGTATGTGGATATGTAAAGGTAGAGGACTCTCTTGAGAATCAAAAAGACCGAAATTTATGAGAAGTCGCCAATTATAGATGTGTCCGTGTTTGCTTTCGGCTTTGATTCGGATCTGATTCTTCTTGGCTATCCCAGATGTGCAGAGCATACTGAGCGATTACACCGGCACCACTGGAAGGTGAAGAGTTCGTCTTTGCTGGCCAATGTATGTAGTGCTGAGTAGCTTCTCTATGTAGAACTAATATGTCTTGGTACTTACCTGAAATACAGTTCTGCCTTTCTTCTGACACAATTAATCATATGGACTAAATGCGTTATCATTCTTCGAAACCTAACTGAATGTTAACACTGGCACTGCCAAAAGGTATTGAAATTGCCTTGGATGTCTATGCCAATAGAGATGAGACATCTTTGGATCGATTCTAGTTATTAATTATCATTTTTAAAGCGGCGCTTGAGTACAGCATGACTTTTTAATGTGCAAATAATTTGTCGATCTCAGTGTCATATTTAGTTAGGCCGTATACAATTCATGATAAAAAACTTCTAAACGTGGGACCTCCCTCGATTGGATATTAATAGATTAGGCTTATTGACGATCAAACTAATTTTTTAAACACACAATTTTATAACGGTATACAGAATTTGAACGTTTCTAAAATCTATGATTATTGTTACAGCGAGCTCAAAATTTTGATCATTTATAGAATATTCGGCTCCCTGAAGATCAAATCACATCATGCAGAGAACGTAGAATGGTGACTGCACTGCTGAAGTTGTATTTAAGAGGATAAGTGAGCAACAGATGGAGCGCTTGATAGCTGCATCATCTTCGATCCGCCGCTACTAGCAATCAAACTTATCCGCAAATTTGCCCTGCAGTCGCAGCGTGATGAGAGTAATCTATTGATTTATTTATCGTACTCCGTCGGTTCAGTCCCTAAATGATTTTGCTCTTCGACTCCAAGACCGGCGGCTATGTTATTTAATAAAATGAAATGTCGAGGTCACTTGGCGACATAGAGATACATTCACGTTGAAGTATCATGCTGAGTAAAAGCCTCGAAATACACTTGTTGCACTTGAACCATACAGTAGAAGTTGGATAGTTATGTCGGAAGCCTGACCTCCGGACATCGTTGCGCTGATTCAATGTAATCCAGTACCAAAGCTTATACTTCCAATCGGCGTAAAGAGTTCGTATGATCTCTAGGGCTCCATCCCCCGTGTCAACGAGATATTGGGCGATACAGCGCACGATCCTGACAGTATTCGATAAAGCGTGTTATTCTATCCGACCGGGGATACTGAACAACAAGGGAAAGCAGATCGACGAGATCCCTTGAGGTCCCTGAATGTCCATCTGCAGCCCCCTAAGCTAGTAACAACAAGCTCTAATAGGCGAGTCTCAGCTCAACCAGAAGCTTCGTTGAGCTGTAACTATAATAATGATGATTGTGACAATTGCAGCGCCTGCTGATGTGATGACACGAGGCCTGCTGGGATATCTACATTTACCATGTAAGTTTCTTTGCATCTCGATCGGAGAGCTTAGCCGTCCAGTGTCAAAAAGAAACATTACAATGCGGCAGGCCTTGCTGCCCATCATCTACTCCCCGGTCTGCCTGTCAAACCGTCGGAAAGTCCCCAAACGGCGCTTCTGACATGAGTCGTAGGGGTGTTCAAGGACAGCTCGCGAACCCTGAAGTAACGTGGAGTTGCGACATGGACGCCTCGCAAGACAACTGTCAACCATGTGTGGATGACTAACTGCCTTAGGGCAGGGTCTTTTCCTAGATAATTTTACAGGGTTTAGTGAAACATGACTGGTAATGTCGCTCTCGTGATTATGTGTCAGTTCCAAGAGGTGCATTGCTCGTCAAACATGTCTTCATACCCAAGGAAAGCTCTCGGCGCCTTGCTACGCCAACGCTCTAGCTTCTCGATAAGCACACTATATTTACCTTCATCATCTTAGCCCCTTGAGACATCTCTCGCTAAATGCATTTTAACTAACCCTCTTGCTTGATACTTTCGCGTATTTTGCCAATTTCTCTCTTCTTCCGCCCTATCATCCTTGCTATTATGAACTCAAACTTAACTATTATTTCCGTTGAAGATTCTTGACCCATAGCCCATCCAAATTCAATGTCGATTATCTATGGACAGGAATTAGCCCCCGAATTACACACCGAGCCTCACTATATATCGTCATACTGAAGAGATAGCCTAAAGGCAAACAACAGCTAGTGCAGAGTCTGCCACAAATTTCGCGCTCGCCAATGCTGCACGAGCTGTCTATCATAAGCGCTATCCGTTGCTTGTAAGTTGAATAAGGTTCTTAGTGCAGATAGGGGTCGTAGCATCTACTTGTCGATTCCTAGTAACACAAAACTAGGATGTCTTAAAGCTAGCTTGACGCGCACCATGTCAATCCACAGCCGACGATACTTTATCTGAAAACGCAGAGTAAGAAGCAGATCGCTTAGGAAGGGAATAGTTTGGTCATGTCATGGAGAGAATTCACGACAATCATACCTGCTCTAGATTAATCAATAATTTGAGGAGAGAATGCTATGCTGCAACTTCTCATAATCGTCAGCTATCTACTTGCCGTGATCTCCAGTGCAAAAGGCAGCGTGACGAAACGGTTTGCGACAAGTGTGCCTCTAACGTTGTCACTAGGTTGACTTTGCAAACACCGCCACTCCCTTTTTGACAATATGTTGACAAGGATCTGTATTGCGGGTCAAGGACTAGACGTTAGTAGGAGGGATTTTGACAAATCATGTAGCGTACCTGAGAAACGAAAAATGAAGGAGTAAATGGATGAGGGTTCCGCATATCCGACGGTCCATCTCAAAGGCGCATGATGATCCAGTCATTAACGCTGCCCGCCCGTTAATTCAAGTTCCATCATAAAGAATTCGAGTTCTCAGCTGTTACTTGTTGGCAAAGGGACGACTCGTTAGTTCTTGAGACTGCAATAAGTTAGATACAATGCAATCTTTAGCTTCAGAAACTCATTTCATACCGAACAATGAACTAGTTGTGCTAGGGATCACCTGCATGGAAGCCTTGGTTGGAAAAGAACCACAATTGTCATGTGGGTATATTTTTGAACTGACTCGGTAGCATGAGGACCCCTGAAGATGAGAAGTTTACCTGCTGGCTCCTGCGAGCTCAGGAAGTTTAGGTTGGCTCCTCGCTACCCCCACTAGAGTTACAGAGCTCATGACGAAGAAGCTTTCATGATGCTGCAGCAAGTCATGCGGGAAATCAATAGCCGATGGAAATTTATTACTCTCCATATGTAATTCCGAGGTGCGAGGATTTGGATGGACATGCGGATGAAAGGGTAAGAAGGAAAAACACATAGAGCGGAAGGGATGATGGTGGTGACAATAGTGATGAAGGCAGTAGAAGTGATAGTAGTAGCTGGCACATTTATTTAATATTTACATAAATACCTGTCGCGGCCATACGGAGTCCATTCCCAACCCCTCTCCTCCAATCAGCCCGGAGCTTTCATTCAGCTCCTCGAGCTACGCCAGCTTGCCTCAGCTTCAACATCCCTTGCTCCCCGCCAGCGAAACAATCAGTGTCAAACGCAGACCGTGTGAACAGTTGTATGAAAGAGAACAAATCGAAGACTGTTCACACATCGATTTTGTCTAGCTTGTGGCATGACTGATTCCCTCATCACCTGTTAACTGCTAATAACAACTACAAATGGATTATTCCATCTCTTTAAACTAACCCCTACCTCACTCACTCCTACTATTGCCTAAGACTCAGAACTTCCTTCACTACACCAACAATTTCGTAGGGAATTCTACGAAAATTACTCATCACCCCTTCCTTTCTGCTGCCAAATAGAAGCGCGAAGCAACGTATCTCTCGGCCCCTCGCTCAAGAATGGTGGGATCCACGACGTTGACAATGCCTCCACGATCTTCGTTGACGTCGTCTTTCTCCGTCTCCGACACTAATAATGAAGTTGTTTGCCCTTTGCGCAATCAAGATGGCTCCAGCTGTCGCAAGCGTTGCCTCGGCGTGAGTGCCTCTATCATGCGACGTCTGCACCCTTTTCTTGAGTCTAAAATACCTTCTTCTCCGTACATCTGTAATAACTAGGTATCTGGGCGGCAGGAAAAACGATATCGCTCCATGCAAGAACACATAAGACGGGCGCATCCTCAACACTACATAGCGAAACTTCCCGCCACCGAAGATAGCTTTCAACTCATGATAAATACACCGCCATCCGACAATGTTCAACTCCCAAATAAAACCATTCAACTTCGTCAACCGACTCCCTTCTCCGTCGAAAAATTTGGGGAAAAAACACAAGAGAAAAAGGTGGTAGACAACACAGGAGACAGTCAAAGTTCTCATGCTGAAAATTCGAGCATACCAAATACACCAAGTACCCCAAAATCAACAGACGAGTATCAATCTATCTCTACGATGCCAGTCACCTACGCAGCCGTAGCGCTTGCTCAGCTGCACAGACACAAGATGGAATTAGATCAAGAGTTAGCAGGGGTTTGTTCATTAGGTTTCTATTCAAAGTCTTCGTTAACCCATTCTTACCAGGACTGGATGTCAGATACAGAGGCCCACAAACATGCTATGCGCCATTCAATTGAACTGCCCCCGCCACAAATAGGCCAATTTGAGCCCACAAGTGATCCATTTTCTAGGCATCGGCGGCGAGAATTGCTCCCGTCTGTTCTGACAACTTCGCCGCCTGAACGGTCTTCAACCCTTCCACCCATTCAACGTAATCCAAGCCTAACTCGGCCCCGCAAAGATTCAGTTTCTCAACGGGCTCGGGAGCCCCAACATAAAAAACACCGATCTCGAGGAGAAAATGGTCATCTTTGGAGAGTGAGCTTTGACCGAAAAGCTATGTCAGCCGAGCCTTCGGGTGGAATAGCTACCACTTGGGGTAAGCGATGGGAAGATTTGATTGATGCTGCAACATCTGCTACAACATCTGCTGCTGAAGATAACGAAGACGAACGAAGGCAAAATTTTCAAAACTCCGCGCACTCTGTCGTGGAGATGGCATCTCCAGCCTCAACAAGCAACAACATAAACTCTCTCCCTTCGTTCATGGCAACACATTCTCATCTACAAAGATACCAGGCTTCACCACTTCAACGTGCCTTAACTCCCCCATTAAACTTGTTAGATACTCCTGGAAGATTATCGTCTACAGATAATGGAGCTAGTGGTGGTGGAAGTGGCGATAGTTATCACAGTGACTCACGTGGACCTTCTCATTCCTCGCTCGGATATTCTTCACATATTATGCAAATTTACTGTGCCGCATGCCAGGGTCTTTCTCTTCTGAAAGAATCCTATGTTTGTACCGAATGCATATCTGGAATATGTGTATCATGTGTTGAAGTACTGATGTCCGAACAAGGAGCGCGAAGGAAATGTCCCAAATGCGCGACGATCGGTGGCCGGTATAAAAAAATTAATTTAGATGTGAGAGTATGAATGATAACATGGAAAACGAAACGAGATACCAGGATAATGGTTCCTATGAAAGGATTGGGTGTTGGGAAGAACGTGGTTACGGCGTCAATGAGGGGTCTTTCGAAACTTTGATAGGAATGCTCCTGAAATTATTCAGTTTAGCGAAAGGACGAATGAAGGTTAGGTATTAATTACCGCCATGGCTATTTGAATAGTAAGCAATTTACGCTGAAATTATGAAAAAATGACATTGAATAGTCTAGCCAGGTTATACTTGATATCTACGCATCACAAAGAAGGGGCGCGAAAATTAAGAAATCAAAAGTCGCTTCTAACTTACAGGGCAGGTGGAGGTTAACTGTAAGTTTACACTCAATTAATACCGCTCCAGTGTGGTCTGGAATCATCTACGTGTGTAAAATAAGCTTCCTTATATTGAAAGAAATGTGAATCTGATGACGGGTCGCTTGTAATTCATCATCATTGTCATTGTCAGCAAATCGCACATTGGAGCTTCTTCAATACATCTTCCCTGGCCATGATATAAATTGTAGTAATTGGCCGTACATCGTAATTTTTAGACCTCAGTCACACAAGAAAACATTTGCGCTTGGAAATTTGGCTATCAATGATGAGACTGGGTAGAGTGTCACGTTTTCAAGGGTGGATTGACCATGCTCATTAGTTGACATGTGTATGAGTTGCTATGACGACCACTCGGCTGCCCGTAAGATGACGTAGTTTGCTCAATGAAAAATCACCTGGGATGAAATATGTTTTTTTTAACTTGCGAAGTTAATAGTCTTAAGAAAGATACGTGGGACACGGTATTACGTTGTAAATGTTGACTAGATAGCCCTGATGCTGCAGATAAAGTATATGTACTGATAGTAAGGTCATGTGACCTGACTAACTTAGTTTACATGAGTAAGTGAAATAGTTCCCCTTGACAAATAGTAAAGTGATTAAATAATTTGGATTTTTACATAATACAAGAATCAATGACTACCTATCACACTAGACTCTATTTAGCACATATCACACCTTGTGTAATTCTCCAATCCTCTTAAATTATGTAAAAAATATATCTGATGTACTGTCCATGATGAAAAGCGATTCAGCTCAGAGTATACCTGTAGTGTTCATTCTCAACAGCTGTCAGTGGTGTCCCCTACGAGCCTCCAGCTCTCATTGTAAAGTCTAGCGAACCGAGATTGAGAAACAAAGTCCTCACTTCGATGAGGATTACAATTCGCTTTCGCGGTCTGTATCGTCTTCATCTCTCAACACATTCCCCAGCCGCCATTATCATGAAGCCAACCACGATTATTGTTGGAAAATATACTCTGTACGAAATTATATGGATAAATATGATGAAGTAAGGAAGACCTAATATTTTACAACTGTGTGAACGTTGGACCTTTTTTTTTTTTTGCATCAAACTTTAATTGCGAATGCAGCTATCTAACTATGACACAATATCAAAGAAAAGTACAAAAAAGATAACTCAATTTACAAGAGGAGCACTCATGCCTCAGATTTCATTTGCAAGTACCACTGCGAAGTTATGGTGGCTTTTTCTTCACCCCAAGTCAACCCTCATCCGTGAATACCCACCCAGGGGAACGTCTCAAATACCCTGAGTTATCCAGACATGCCTCCATCATCTTTCAACTTTTCTCCGCGCGATATGTGATCTGAGATGTCTCCTTCCCAAGTGGAGTAGGTGCCCAGGCTACTCAAACTATACCGGAGAACACCACCAGGAGGCGGACCACAACACCTTCCATCGTTTGCTTATTTTTATAGTGTCAGCTGCACTCTCGCAAGCGAAGTCTTGGCGCACATAAAGCTCAATTTGTAAAACTCCTTGCCAAAATTCGGAATCTCACGCCCTTCGAGGTTATATCCTTCCTCCGCATCATCTTGTAAACTTGTCCTAATTCCTCTCACGTCCATCCCAAAGAACTGTCTCCCAGATTTGTGCGCCATGCTTTGCTTCCTCCGTCGGGTATAAATATCGGCGTGGGCGTGTATTTGGTGACCGGCTGAGGCCAGAGAAAGTCGACGAGAGGTGAGGTCATTGAAACGAGGATGTACTAGGTCGTACTTGTAGACTTGATGAAGCTTAGTTGAGAATCGGACTCTTTGTGAGTGAAAGATTGACATGGTGGAGTAATTCGAAATTTTGCCTCGTGGGCCAACTTCTTTGATATTGCGAAATTTGACTGAACTTGGCTCTGGGAGAATATTTCACTCTCAGGTTCGTAGAGGTCACCGCGTACAGGTGTTCAGTTTTGCCCTCCCGAACATTGGACTTATATATACATCTTAGGGGAGAAATTCCCACTAGTCTCATGTGCCCGTCAAACCTAATGATGACCAGCCACCACTCATCTACCATGATGAGCCAAGGTACACTGTAGTACGTAAATATCCAAACGTATAGGCGACAGTAGGCGCGATTAGCGTACTAGGGTCATGTGTAGAGAAATTCGATCGCGTCGGGTACCTGGGACGAAACAGGTAATGGTTGAGTCCTAAATTCGAGAGTCAGAATTTCCAACAATCATATTAGATGGTAGGTTCGAAGCCCTTCTCGTCACCAACCCTTGATCATAGAGGAAAAGCAATCCAATAAGTTTCCGGAGCGTACCCAGCACCTGATACGAAGATCGTAGATTGGATCAAGTCGGCCTCGAATGTTACAGAGAAGGGAGATGTAGATAAATATGCGCACCTCATGTGGTCCCGGTGTCTAGGCCTCGCCTGGCTGGGGCTGCAGGTTTTTTGAGACTTTTTCCCGCACACGCAGTTTCCATTGCTACCATTTTTTTTTGTGGGTAGAAGGTTCCGTGGAAAAGGTGGCCGAATTTCACGGGTAAACACTGAGCTGAATGGCTACTCATCACGGGGAATATATCAATGATGTTACAAGTAACAAAAGAGGATAGGAGCACTGTACAAAATGTGGCCTGGGTTAGAGAGGAGCCCAATGTGCTAGATAGTCTATGACTCAAGTAGTACAATAAAAACACACACATAGCTGTAGTGTTCAGGCACCGTTTCTAAGGAACTCCTTTCACAAAAATAATCATCAAAAAAGCCTCTACCAAAAAATACGAGGCCTAGACACCGGAACCACACGAGGTGTGTGTAACTATCTACATCTCCCTTAATTGTAACGTTTGGGACCAACTTTATCCAACAAACCATCCTCGTACAGGGTCCTGGATATGCTCCGGAGATTCGCCAGATGACTTCTCTATGACAAAACCTGAGTGATAATCAGGGCTTCGGCTCTAACATTTAATCTTATCATGGTTAGCTTTGTGGTATCGGCGCTAAGGAATTGTGCTGTGAGATGAAGGCGATATAAACCGCAAGAGGGATTGGGGATCAACACCCAGATGAGGACAAAGATGCACCTCAATCTTGGCCCTACGGCGAGAGCCGGGGCTACTCGGGGGACACCGCTTCTAGATGAAGAGTTATATTATCCTCACATCGAAATCAAATGGTAGTTACCATGTTCAAGACGGTTCCTCAAATTTCGCTCAATTTTGGAGGGCTACCCTACAACCGAGTTGGCGCCGTGGTACCAGAGTCACATTGAATAGATACATTCAATTCTCTGTAATCTAATTCAGGTATTTCTTTAAAATGAAGCCTAGTAGAAACTGAAAGTCCTTTTGTTGAATAAATCCTGCCCAAAACTCATAGATATACCATGTATTTATGATGCTTAATTTGCCAGATAAACGCTAGCAAGGGTGCTTTCGAACTATATATAAATCCATATATGCGTCCAATAGCGCGTCAAATTACTATAAGCCACGAAAAGTACACAAATCTATCCTTACAAACCACTTTCACTTCTTTATCATTCTCAGATCCAAAAATTTGCTCACGTCGGATAACAAATTGGGTTGAATTCAACTCAAAGCACTTTGGATCAGCTAACCCGGCTTAGTATTTAAACCACGAGTTTGTGACACTTGTGGCTTACTGAGAATAAAATAAACTAATAAACAATTAGTGTTAGAGGCACGTCTTGAACAGGCTGATTTGCTGAAGAAGGTTGGCAGTTTCTCCAAACTAATAAACCTATAACTAAAATGAAAGATCGTCGATGCAATCAAGGACCTCGTACAAGACTGCAACTTCGACTGCAATGACTCTGGGGTTGCCCTACAGGCGATGGACAACTCCCATGTTGCTCTCGTATCTATGATGTTGAAAGCCGAGTCGTTCTCCCCCTATCGGTGCGATCGTAACTTGGCTCTTGGCCTCAACCTCGGATCTCTGACCAAAGTTTTACGTGCTGCCCAAGGCGATGATATACTCACTATCAAAGCTGAAGACGCACCTGATGTTTTAAACCTTCTATTTGAAAGCAGCGAGAATGACAGAATCAGTGAGTACGACTTGAAGCTTATGGACATCGACCAAGAGCACCTTGGTATCCCGGATACAGAGTATGCCGCCACTATTAGCATGCCATCAACAGAATTTCGAAGGATTTGCCTTGATTTGATAGCTCTGTCTGAGTCTGGTAGGAAAGAGCTCACTCCGTTTAATTGATGTTCTAATTATCCTCGCTAATTTTCTGTCTCTCTAGTGTCTATAGAAGCCTCGAAAGATGGAGTAAAATTCTCTTGCTCGGGAGATATTGGGAATGGTGCAGTCACTCTCAGAAGTCACACAAATGTGGAAAAGCCCGAGATGAACGTAGAAATTGAACTCACTGAGCCAGTCTCGCTGACCTTTTCACTCAAATATCTTGTCAACTTCTGTAAAGCTTCGGCCCTCTCCAAATCAGTCAAGCTTTGCCTATCAAACGAAGTCCCCTTGCTGGTAGAATATAACCTTGCAGGGAGTAGTTATCTACGGTTTTACTTGGCGCCTAAGGTAAGCCTAAGTCATCCTATACTGAATCTCTCATCCTGACAAATTATCTAGATTGGAGACGATGAGTGAAGAACATGAAAATATGAAATTGATGACGATACACATGAGGACTCTACACATCAAACGGCTCCTGAGTTCTTCTGGATTGAAAAAGAATCTTCACTTCAGGATCGTTGGAGTTTCCATTTAATCATTACTGCTGGGAAGGGCCTTCGAATATCTAGGCTAGTAATGAGGAGTTCGGCGAAAGGAAATACAAATACCCGGCCTTGCTACAGGTATAGTTTAACTTGCCTGCAAAGATCTAACCACGAGATCCACATAGACTCTGTGCTACATCAATACAAATGTCAAACTTCATCTTAATTCACACAAAAATTTAACTCCTAAAATCATATTTCAAGTTTCACTAGCATGATCCAAATGACTGTGGATACATAATTGCGTTCTTCTCTAATTCTTGAGGAATGAGATGGAGAGGACAAAAATTTTGGTACCGGTTCACAGGTGTCCAAATTCCGCTTCGTACGACGTAGATCCGCGTGATGAGTAGACCTCATTTGTGCTAGCCTATTTTGATAGCCTGTTACATAAAAGTATTTAGTAATGCCGTCACGAATCCCTGAGCCGTCGAAGTCACACAGAGCTTTAAAATATAGCTTGTTGATCGATAACTAGAAATATGACTGAAAATGAATTCCCAATTCCTGAAACAAAAGTACTTGCAATCGCAAGCCATGTATGTTGGACTAAATCTTTTCGTGGGCTTTGCGCAGTGAACTAACTATGAAAGAGGTGGTACACGGGTATGTTTCTAAAAAGATTATCTCAACTATATTAGTTAATGGGAAAAAAGATATGTTGGTAATACCGTAGCTACACCGGTAATGCAGGCTTTTGGCTGCGACGTCGCGGCTCTAAATACTGTGCAATTCAGTATAACAATACAGATTTCCCCATATTTCAGATGGACTCTAACAATGAACAGGCAATCATACAGGCTACCGTCAGTTTAAGGGTACCTACACGACGGCTCAACAGATCACTGAAATATGGAAAGGTCTTGAAGACAGCCATATCGATGACTATCATATGATACTTTCTGGTTATCTTCCTGATGCATCTTCAGTAGGAGCGCTAGGTCATATAGCTAAGAGTCTAAAAAACAAGTCAACCATAGATCAAGAGAAAGTCTTTTGGATACTCGATCCAGTTCTAGGAGATAATGGAAAATGCTACGTAGATCAAGACGTCATTCCTGTATACAAGAGTCTATTGCGATTTGCTGATATGCTATTGCCAAATCAATTCGAGGCCGAGTGCGCAGTGCCATCATCTTTAGCCTCCCCTAGTCGAGAGAAAGCTGATAGGGAACAGGACATTATCCGGAGTCAAAATAACTGATATGGAGACACTGAAAGAAGCCATCTCAACTTTGCATGATCAGTATCATATTCCTCATATACTCGTCACATCTGTAGACTTCTCTTCAGGAATAGATTCGACTTCATTTTGTGCTGTCGGCTCGACAAAGACATCTGACAACCGGCCTCGTCCTTTTAGGATCAAGATACCGCTCATTAAATGTACTTTTGTCGGCACCGGCGATATGTTGGCAGCGCTTATGCTAGTATTCTTCAGAAAAGCAGTTTGTGATACAGCCGGTCTCTCGGATACCCCACACTGGTGTAGTGATGATAAGGTAAAAAGCACGGACCTACCATTAGCTAAAGCGGCAGAGAAAAGCTTGGCTGGGATAAATGACGTTCTTCATGCTACCAAGTTAATCTATGATGTGGAAATGGAAAGCTACTATCAAAAGGTCGGTGGTATCGAGGCAGCTCACGCAAATGAGACATCACGAGCTCAACATCAACTAGCAAAATCGAAAGCAGCTGAAGTGAGGCTGGTGAGGAATATACCACGCCTAAAAAGTCCAACAGTGAACTTCACTGCAGAAATGCTATAGCGTGCAGGTTGTAGAAAGGTACAATGAGGCACCAAGAGAGAAGATTACATATGTGGCAATATTTTAAAATCTAACTATAAACCCACGCGTAGTTTCCTGTTGTAGAATGGCTATGGTTTCTATAGTTGTAGTTTAACCAGTGCTCCCAAATCCACCAGTTCCACGAACACTTTCTTCCAAATTGTCTACCTCCTGAACTTCGGGTGTGACGATCTTCTCCAACACTAATTGAGCAATGCGATCACCTTCGCTGATAGGAAAATCAACCTCACTGTGATTGAAGAGCAAAATTTTTATTTCACCCCGATAATCAGCATCGATGACACCTGCGCCTGTATCGATCATATGTTTGGCAGCGAGGCCTGAACGGGGTGCAATGCGCCCGTCTGAGTCAAGTTAGAAACCCTGAAGCTCGCACGGGGAAACTACTAGTAGAAATTGGGGCACATACATGTACCAGGCGGTACGGCGACGGCAAGGTCCGTCGCGACGAGCACCTTGCCACGTGCTGGAACACTTGTGGCGTGCGCGGCGTACATATCATATCCGGCTGCGCCGCTGGAACCACGAGTCGGGAGACGCGCATGATCTGAGAGCTTTTTGATGAGGAGTGAGGTATTCATGCTGGAATGAGACGATGCAAGGCAGTTGGATGGCGTGGAGGTAAGAGTTGTGGTGCGATGCAATCGGTTTGTTTTCTGTTGATACTCAACATAGCCGCAATGCACAGTGTATTTGCCTCGCGGCGTCAGCGCGCCCACTGCAACTGGCCACTTTATCGAGCAGCGCACCACACCGCATGCCAAGTAACAATACTCCCGATCTACGGAAACCTTGCGATCAAGTCCTTGACGAAGGTGATACCCGAAAACACCTAAGGTCTAGGCTGCGACGAAGGCCAGAAGTCAAGAGATGCCGGCGTAGCTACACGCCAGCTTCATGCATCCTGCATGACTGGGAGAACGTGAACTATCTCGCAGTTTTTAGATGACCCCCGGCCCTGATCTACCCGTGAATGGAATTTCCACTAACCGCCGGTGTAGGGAGAGCTTGACTGTTAGCACTTACACCTGCAGAACAAAATGAGAATATCCGCGAGTTACCCTTTGATGAACTACATGCAGAATCAGAGGCTTTGTGTGCCCAAATATCTATTTGAATTAACGAAAATATACGTGAAATATACTTGCAGGAAATCCGGATAAAGGTAGTATTTCTAATTAATCACGCATTCTACGACAGTCTTAGACTTATGTAGGTTGTACATGGAGAAGTTACATTCGGAAGATATGCAACAGTGCACAGTTGCCGGAGCGTTATATTTTCTTACCTGTAGGGAGAAAGCACATACGGCCTAAGCTTCATCAGAAAAGTTCGAATAGGGAATTACACAATCGAAACTAAGTGAATTCACTTGATTGTGGCTAAAGAAGAATTAAGATTACTACTATATATACTGGGTTCGAAATGACAACACCTCGTGGTGTTAATAATTATACAGTAATTAAGAAAATAGCTTCATTAACCCATTGAAACGCCTTCGTCGTCGTCATCATCATCATTAAAGTATTCATCCGCGATGCATTAAAGTAGATCGCCCAGCGTTAAACCACACTACCTACTTCTGTCATAGGAAAGCTGCTCTTGGTGCTAACTCTCGAATGGACTTCGTCACTATAATGCACCGTCTTTTTTGGTCTAGCAACTAATACTTGTGCAGGACAGACAACAGTTTCTTCTTCGCCCTCCCCACGAGAATCACCCTTTTTAACAACCAGTGGAAATAATACAATACGTACGATAGATTTTTTGTCCTCTAATTCCTTGTTGGAAAGTGTTTCACCACTCCGCTCATTCATTAGTCTTGCATTGAAATAAACTTTCCTTGTCACATTGCCATTCGGCTCGCGTTCCGGCTGAAGAGGCGGGAGCATCATATATTCGGATTTTTGACAACGCATTTCAACAGATAGGTTCGCAGCTTCGTTGATGACTCTAGTCAACTGTTCTCTTACCTTTTCTTCAAGGCTACTTGGTGGCGGTAGTATTTCTGATAGAGTTTCGATGATGGTATGTACAACAGCTTGTGTATCTAGAACTCGTTGTTGAGCAAAGGCTGAACGCCTTGAAAGAAGTGTCAAGGTAGTTACACGCCATAAGTGCACGGCCGATGCGGGTCCTACTTCAGAGAGAATCTTTTCTAGGGTCTTGAGCTTTTGCCTCTGTTCTCGATCCATACCGAACAGGTATCGCGTAAAAATGAATTCCCATATCATGGTCATAACTATTGACATAAATATATCACGACGCTTGATTCTATCGGATAGATATAAATCTACGTCGGAGCCATCCAGAATTGCGCTCTGAAGCCGATTCACAGTTTTATCATTGTTAATCTTATCAGTGAGCCTACAGGCTTTCATGTCGGAGAATTTAGAGAATCGCAATACCCATTGCTGTACGTGCTGGCATAGTTGCTGGCATGCTCTATCAAAGTAATCCTCGTCTCTCACGACAAAAAATTCGGTATTATTTGTTTTTGATACTAATATCTGCTTCTGTAAATCTCGAATTTTTTGTTTTGCCCTATCGAGCTCGGCGCAAAGAATCGCAATCTCTTTATTTTTGTCTGAAATAGCTGTCTGTAACGCTATCTCATCTTTTGTGGAAATCCTACGATGGGAATCACGTTTCAGTTGATTTTCTTGTCCGGAATGTACATTATCAGTCTCGAGCGACTCAACACGATCGTTCTGTTGACGCGCAATTTTTGAGCCTGCTGATTTGAGACCTTCATTTAGTTCTTTCAGCCTAGAAACCTCTTTTTTGAACCAGTCAATAGCATGCGTGAGAGATTCTATTTCGACCACCTTCTCATGGACGGCTTTTTGGGTATATTGTTTTGCAGTTTTTTCAGCTAATTCTACTTTTTCGACTAGTGCACGGTTCTGTTCAACTAGTTGTTCAATCTTACACTCGAGATCAAGAACTTTCATACTTTGCCGGCGGCGCATGCTAGGAGGTCGTGTGGGAGACCGCGGTGAACTCAAGCGGCCTTCGCCAACACCATCCTATTAAAAATTAGAATCTGAAAATGGGTTATATTTTGATTATTTACTCACAAAGACATCTGCCATGTCCTTGACCCGGACACGGCCCTCATTAGCCTGAGGATTCGCGATGTGCGATGGAGATGGCTGATGAGTTAATTTGAGCTTGCTGGTCGGTTGACTAAGCGATCGTAGATCCCTGCTAGTTTGTGCTTCACTACCACGGAATGAAGTGCAGGTGCTAATATGTCTTGTGGATGCGAAACTAGCAGGCTCACAGTTAGATGATCTACTGACTTCTGAGATGGATCTTTGAGTTTGGATAGATGTTAATTGATCAACATTGAGCTTCCTCGTAATGGCACAGCCTTGTAGCGCTGTTCTCTCCAACACTGTACCAGCCACTAAATTTCGAGTCCCCGCAACTATATTGTGAGCCTTAGGCTGAAATGTAGTAAGCTCAGCATATGTTTTTCTTTTCGATTTTCGTATTTGTGGGTACTCTGAAGAGTCAGATTCTATAAATTTAGGTGACTCAATTTTACCATCAGATCTCTGAATACGAGAGCCCGGTAGATCCTTATCCAATCTTCTCACTATCATGCTACCCTGAAGACTTGGCGTATGTCGAATATTGGCATATTTGTCTTCAGCCCTATGTAACGATGAGTAACCTGGATCCGAGAAATTTTCAATTTTTCCAATTGATAGAGAATGTATTGTGTGTGGAGCTATTTTGTGCGAGCTAGTAATCATGTTAGTCTTGAATGTCACTAATCATTGGTTATCATGTCAAATTTTGTTGGTAACATACCTAGATTGACTTTCTGTATGTGATTTTGATATGCTAGTTGTGATAGATTTCTGAGTTTCCTCCATATCATCTGACAAAGTTTTACCTTTCTCAACAGATGTTGGCATTCGAAGCGAAGTTTTCAAAGATAATGGTTTTTGAGACTGATCCTCGCCATCACTATGATATCCCTGATGGCTTTCCAATAGACTTTCGAATAGTTGACAAGACTCGATATAAAATTCAGTTTCATTACAGGATTTCTGCATGTAAGGCCCAAATTTATATTTGTCTGAATAATTCATGGGAGTTTCGATTATAGCTAATGTGTCCAGTGATCTAATTTTAGATATTTCATTTATTCTAGCAGGTATTTGGGTAATTTTGTAACATTTATTTAATTCAGATATTTCGGTATTATTTATATGTGTTTCGGGCAATTTTGTCGAAGGGAGAGACATTCCGCTATTTATTATCGATGAATTAAACGGGGTAATAGATGCATTTTTAGTCAATTTCTGAAATTTTGACTCAGAATTATTACATGGAAACTGTGACTGGAAATCTGATGAATTACTCCAATAGATTGTGAGAGATTTCATTAAACTTATAGGTATAGCTTTCCAGAAACTGTGCAGTTCAAGTTGACCACTGATGTAAGATTCTTCCATGATCCTTATCTTGTTTCCTTGACAGAAAGACAAGATTTCAAGACTATTCACGCCATATTTATTTTTTTCTACTTTTTCTGGCATTGTTGAGACGTTTCTATTCAATAGGGATGTATATTCAAGATTGGTTGCATTTAATGGTAATTTTGGATTGAAATCTTGAATTTTCTCCCCATCTTTAAGAAGAATCTCTTGATTGGCGGGAAGAATGACTGCAAGTCTGCTTTTCAAATCTAAAGAGCTTCTATTCAAAACTTGGTTGATTTGTACTTCGCTAATTTGCATCATGTTAGAGGAAGAGATACCAGAAAATATTCTGATTTCAAAGGACCACAATGATCCAGCACTCCGTCCATCACTCGAAAATAGTGAAATTTTACATTTTTGCATAGAATCATCTAGGCTTGAAGACTTATGCGATGTCTTATCACCAAGATTGGTCTCAAATATAGCCCCACATATGTTGTACAAATATTTACCAATGGAAGAATTTGAGATTGACCTAATAGTATTAAAGTTAAGATCAAATTTTAAATCAGTTGTAAATTGAAACATCATGTATTTTTCAGTTGTTGAACTTATGCGCAAGTTATTGAGCAAATCAAGTCTGCCATTATAGTGTCTTGAAGCTTCAGTGTAAAATTTTTTCCAAGGAATTTCCAATCTTTCTGATTGCAAATATCGATCAATGCTTAGATAATTTAGGCCAGGAATTTTGTAATTAATATCCAATGATTCAATACCATTTGCAATGACTTTGTCCACGATAAGAAATTTATCCGGAGAAATAGTAGAAATTCCATTATATTGACTGATACGAGGTTCCTCTTTACCTTTATCGTCTATTTCGAATTTAATTATTGAGAACTCTTTACTTACTTGTTCTGGGGCCAGTAATGTTGTAAACGAGGGTTGAAATAGCCTTAAGAATTTTTTTCTAACATCTAAACCGGAAGCTGACTTTATAGAACTGAACGAAAAGAATGTCTCAATCTGGCTGATGTCGATCTCAATCTGATTTTTCACACAACGAAGAGCTACAAGTTTCAAAGCTTTGGGTTCTTCAATATTGAGTAAATCGGCCTCATATTCAACTGTAATATCTGTTGTATTTGGGATACTAGTATAGAATTGTTCTTTATTTTTATTTTTGATTTTTGACATAATTTCATCCAACTCCTGAGGCCCCCATCTACCAATAACACTTCCTTGATGTTTTATGCAAGTATATTGATCAGGAATTGTTCCTATGGACTTTGCAACTTGATCAAATATTTCATTATTCCCCTTTATTGAAACTACTTTCTGATTTTCTGCATCTTTTGTCGGATTTTTTCTGACCTGGAGGAACTGCCCCCACGTTAGATCTTGTGCAGGATTACCGAACTCAACATTGCATTCTACCAGGTCTTTACTTCCTGCGGTGGGATTACACTCCGAAGACTGACTGGGGTCAGCCAAAGGTGAAGAATATTTGATTTCATCAACTGGGGTCGAAATACCGTTTTTTTGATTTCGCTTACCCTTTCTAGCTTTTTTCTTGGAAATAGGTCGATTACCATTTTTCTCTTCACTATCTCTTTTTAACGCTTCGGGGGTTTCTTTTTTTATGATAGTCTCCTTCGTTTTAGGAAGGCTACCACTTGAGTCCATAGAGGTACTTATAGTATCGTTAACCTGCATTATATTTTTATCTTTTATTAAAAGATTTTGGTTGGGTGCAATATTCCTAATAGATTGTGAGATTTTCTCAGAGTTTCCAATGCTACTGAGGTTAGTCTGCGGATATTTATCTTGGTAAGTGGCCAATTGATTTGACATCACCAAAGACTCGTCTTCCTTCTCTTTATTAACTGACGATTCTTTTGTGACAGGGTTGACAGGAAAATTAGCCTTGCTAGATGTAGTCATGTCTGAAAACTTTTTTCCAACATCTTCTTCTATAGAAAACTTCAAGAGCAGTGCCATATTATCTTCGTTGCTGTTGTCCAGAGGTGTTGAAGTTTTTGTACCGAATTTCTTAGATGAGGATTCCTCAAAACGTTTTTTCTCAGGCACTGTAGAGGCGCTTGTTACCTCAGAATCATTGATATGTTGATTATTTGAGGATAAATTTTTGGAACGTGATCTTTCAGGTCTTGCTGCTTTGTTCCCTTTAATTGTATTCCTTGGTTTGATTCTAGGGGTTTCCGCATCGGAATTAAGCCTCGATTGATCGTATTTTCGACTAAGAGACAACTGGCTATTTGTATCTTGGCATAGCGTATTTTCTTGTAGCTCTACTGTTTCATAGAGTTTTTCACCCGGTGCCAGATTTTTGGAATCCACTTGTAAATTTTCAACATTGTTATGAATCTTGCTACTTCCCAACGACTTCTCAACAATATTTGTATTGATTTTATCGGTGATAATTTGATCGTAAATGTTAGAGTTTGAAGTTTGTTCATCATTCATCTCTCTTTGAGCTTGATCTTGGTTAACTGCTCTTGTTTCAAACATGAGCGATAGGTTATCGCCATAATAATCTTGAATACTAGGCGAGGGATCACTTTTAGAATTGGCGTTTATTTGATCCTGAATTCTATCTGAAGATTTCTTCAATGAAAGGTGTTTTGCTGAATTATCTGAGATTTTAAGATCATCATTGCAGTTGATCTCATTCAGTTGTTTTCCCGTACTTGAGACACTAGATCGCTTACAGTCTTGTTCAGTATCCGAGGCTCCCACAGATTGTTCTCTTAAATTTGTTAAACCATCTTCTTTTTTAATTACTAAATCTAGTACCTGATCTTTGTGGGGTAATGTAGTATAAGATTTACATTCTAGCACTTTTAAAGGTTTGACTTCCAAATCTTTTTTTAAAATATTATTATCAGATGTATCACTTGGAGAGATATTCGTTGGTATCTCTGCCTGATCATTACTGACCGAGACAAACTTTAAAGCTTTTTGCTTATCCTCGTGCCGAGACCCTTCTATTGTATCTTCTTGCACATATTCAAGTGAAACTGAATTATCTCCTATTTCTCCATCTGCATCGGAGAAGGAAGTTTCATTCTTTTGATCACGCTTGTGGTATGACTTAAACGAATCTGATAGCTTTTTGTTCTCCGAGACATCAAATTTTGATAGATTTGCAGAATCTTGCGCAGAATGTTTGTTGTGCTCTTCCATCTTAGATTGATTCCAGACTACATACTTTTGCTCACCTTGTGAACACGTCGAGCCTTTTACCTCCTCTTGTCGCTTTTCCAACGTAGATGAGCTGATATAGCTATCATTCTGATCCTTAAATACTGTAGTTGCAGTCAAAATATTTTTCTCAGTAGCAGATTGCGGAATTTTGCTTCTTTCGTCTTTAATATCAACCGATGAAGATACACCACCAAAAAATTCATTCTCAACATCACTGGTTGTTGACACAAGACCATTTTTCTGCCTCAATTGTCCATTGGATTCAATTCTTGACTCTTCAAATAAATTTTTTGGATTGACCAAATTATCGCGCTTATTTTCCTGACTTATGCAAGTTACGACTTGATCATTAATTTTCGGTAAAATTTCTAGGACAGTATCTTTTGGTATAGACGCCTGTAAAGATAATGAATGTGGCGAAATATTTTCTACAACAAGTGACGAGGGCACAGCTATCACTTCTTTTTCCATTTGCGAGGCAACCATATCAATTGATTGGTTCAAATAAGTTTTCTGAATAATATCCGCTGTCGGATTATCTTTTTTGCTTTCAAGTGACGAAAGATATGTCCAGGAACCTGCCTCCGAAGGAATAATTAATCTCTCTTTCTTTATTTCAATCTGAGACATATTTTTCGACTTCTCGTCCTTTACCTCAAATGGGAAGGTCACAAGTGCTTTATCTTGCAAAATCAACTCTTGAGGCAAAGTTGCGGAATTTTTTATCCCTTCCATGCCAGGATTAGCGGATATTTGATTCCCGTCCCTTTCTTTACACCAAGTTAAGTGTTTCAATTTAGCCATGCTGCATTTCCATTCAAAATTATCTGCATTTTCTCCAAAAGAGTTTTCAATCTTAGAGGACCATGCATGGCAATCATCATTATCTGAGACCGTCTCAACAGATGGAAATTCTTTATCCTGGGACAGGTTTCGAACTTGTATTATTGATTTTTCTGCAATGCTTTTAATCTTCACACAATTAGACAGATTCTCCGATATTTCTTCACAGGTCGCAACAACTGTTAGATCTACAGTCTCAGGCACATCTTCGAGTGATTCCGCTGCTTTTTCAAAAACCAGTTCTGAAGAGGTGGAGTCCTCTAGTTCCTCCTCCTTTTCTTCACAAGTTGCAACAACTGTCAGATCTACAGTCTCAGGCACATCCTCGAGTGAGTCCGCTGCTTTTTCAAAAACCAGTTCTGAAGAGGTGGAGTCCTCTAGTTCCTCCTCCTTTTCTCCACAAGTTGCGACAATTTTCAGATCTACAGTCTCAGGCACATCTTCGAGTGGGTCCGCTGCTTTTTCAAAAACCAGTTCTGAAGAGGTGGAGTCCTCTAGTTCCTCCTCCTTTTCTTCACAAGTTGCAACAACTGTCAGATCTACAGTCTCAGACACATCTTCGAGTGAGTCCGCTGCTTTTTCAAAAACCAGTTCTGAAGAGATGGAGTCCTCTAGTTCCTCCTCCTTTTCTTCACAAGTTGCAACAACTGTCAGATCTACAGTCTCAGACACATCTTCGAGTGGGTCCGCTGCTTTTTCAAAAACCAGTTCTGAAGAGGTGGAGTCCTCTAGTTCCTCCTCCTTTTCTTCACAAGTTGCAACAACTGTCAGATCTACAGTCTCAGGCACATCTTCGAGTGGGTCCGCTGCTTTTTCAAAAACCAGTTCTGAAGAGGTGGAGTCCTCTAGTTCCTCCTCCTTTTCTTCACAAGTTGCAACAACTGTCAGATCTACAGTCTCAGGCACATCTTCGAGTGGGTCCGCTGCTTTTTCAAAAACCAGTTCTGAAGAGGTGGAGTCCTCTAGTTCCTCCTCCTTTTCTTCACAAGTTGCAACAACTGTCAGATCTACAGTCTCAGGCACATCTTCGAGTGAGTCCGCTGCTTTTTCAAAAACCAGTTCTGAAGAGGTGGAGTCCTCTAGTTCCTCCTCCTTTTCTTCACAAGTTGCAACAACTGTCAGATCTACAGTCTCAGACACATCTTCGAGTGGGTCCGCTGCTTTTTCAAAAACCAGTTCTGAAGAGGTGGAGTCCTCTAGTTCCTCCTCCTTTTCTTCACAAGTTGCAACAACTGTCAGATCTACAGTCTCAGGCACATCTTCGAGTGGGTCCGCTGCTTTTTCAAAAACCAGTTCTGAAGAGGTGGAGTCCTCTAGTTCCTCCTCCTTTTCTTCACAAGTTGCAACAACTGTCAGATCTACAGTCTCAGGCACATCTTCGAGTGAGTCCGCTGCTTTTTCAAAAACCAGTTCTGAAGAGGTGGAGTCCTCTAGTTCCTCCTCCTTTTCTTCACAAGTTGCAACAACTGTCAGATCTACAGTCTCAGGCACATCTTCGAGTGGGTCCGCTGCTTTTTCAAAAACCAGTTCTGAAGAGGTGGAGTCCTCTAGTTCCTCCTCCTTTTCTTCACAAGTTGCAACAACTGTCAGATCTACAGTCTCAGGCACATCTTCGAGTGGGTCCGCTGCTTTTTCAAAAACCAGTTCTGAAGAGGTGGAGTCCTCTAGTTCCTCCTCCTTTTCTTCACAAGTTGCAACAACTGTCAGATCTACAGTCTCAGACACATCTTCGAGTGAGTCCGCTGCTTTTTCAAAAACCAGTTCTGAAGAGGTGGAGTCCTCTAGTTCCTCCTCCTTTTCTTCACAAGTTGCAACAACTGTCAGATCTACAGTCTCAGGCACATCTTCGAGTGGGTCCGCTGCTTTTTCAAAAACCAGTTCTGAAGAGGTGGAGTCCTCTAGTTCCTCCTCCTTTTCTTCACAAGTTGCAACAACTGTCAGATCTACAGTCTCAGGCACATCTTCGAGTGGGTCCGCTGCTTTTTCAAAAACCAGTTCTGAAGAGGTGGAGTCCTCTAGTTCCTCCTCCTTTTCTTCACAAGTTGCAACAACTGTCAGATCTACAGTCTCAGACACATCTTCGAGTGAGTCCGCTGCTTTTTCAAAAACCAGTTCTGAAGAGGTGGAGTCCTCTAGTTCCTCCTCCTTTTCTTCACAAGTTGCAACAACTGTCAGATCTAAAGTCTCAGACACATCTTCGAGTGAGTCCGCTGCTTTTTCAAAAACCAGTTCTGAAGAGGTGGAGTCCTCTAGTTCCTCCTCCTTTTCTTCACAAGTTGCAACAACTGTCAGATCTACAGTCTCAGGCACATCTTCGAGTGAGTCCGCTGCTTTTTCAAAAACCAGTTCTGAAGAGGTGGAGTCCTCTAGTTCCTCCTCCTTTTCTTCACAAGTTGCAACAACTGTCAGATCTACAGTCTCAGGCACATCTTCGAGTGGGTCCGCTGCTTTTTCAAAAACCAGTTCTGAAGAGGTGGAGTCCTCTAGTTCCTCCTCCTTTTCTTCACAAGTTGCAACAACTGTCAGATCTACAGTCTCAGGCACATCTTCGAGTGAGTCCGCTGCTTTTTCAAAAACCAGTTCTGAAGAGGTGGAGTCCTCTAGTTCCTCCTCCTTTTCTCCACAAGTTGCGACAATTTTCAGATCTTCGTTCCCGGTACTTCGTAGAACTGAATTTACTTGATTTCCTTGAATTAATTCTGAGAAATTGTAAATTACTTGTTTGTTGACATTTTCCTCTTTTTGTAAAACAGGGTCATAAAGTTTCTGATTTATCGTCCATCTTGGTTTATGGACTAAAGTTGCAGAAAATCTTTTGAATGGATCAGCAGTTGATTCCACCTGCGTATCTTGACTCGATGAAGTTACATTTGAAGTATTGTACAAAAGTTTTTCATGATGTAAATGATTTGGATTGATCGATAAATTGTCTAAGTCAAGGACATCTGAGAAATCTTCGATATTTCCTAGTACGGATGGGTCATTTTCTTTAGATTTGATATTAATTTCAGGAAGAGGTTTTTCTTCTTCACTTTGAACAATATTTGGATCATATTTTGATGAATACTGATCTATAGATTCAATTTTTGTAGAGATTGGCGCTTCATTTGTATGGTATCTGAAATTTTCTTGTTTGCCGTGCAATTCAGAATATTCAGATTCCTGAATTTTATTGAGATTTGATTCCCTTGATCTATTAACAACTGCAGTTTCTAGAGGATTTGGAGGTAAATCAAGGGGAACAGGCAAGTCGAGTTTCATGAGTATTTCGGAATAATTGTCGCTGAAATTACCCTTATGGTCTTCTAATTTAATTATGTTAGTATCTATTTTTGTTTTTGGGCTATCGGGAAGAGCAGGAAGATCATTGAAGTTATCGTTAAGTGGTGAATTCCGTGAACAAGACTCTAACAGATATAAAGGCTGGTAATCTGTAGTCCTATCCCAGGATTTTGGTCTAGATCTAGATCTTTTGCTTTGTAAAAGATATTGAGGCGTTGGTGAACACGGGAACGTAGGTGATGTATCAGATTTAAAAGGCAACTCTGATAATGATCTTGTTCTCTTTTTAAATTGAAGGCTGAATGGAACTGAACTCTGGCTGGGAGATTTTATTGGTGATTCGCGCAGACTCCCTTTGCGAACTGTGTTAAAAGATCGATCCTCTGGCAATCGATCAATCTGTAGAGAGTCCGGTTCACTGTCTGGAAGTTTGGGTAGATTTTCAAGAGATTGAACGGAATTCTTATCCAGTAAAATCATATCAAATGGCGGCAAAGAGAGGAGATCACCAAACTGGGGATCAATTGATAATCTAAATTGCCGCGAAGAATGCCCTATATTAGTCAATACTTCTTTTTCAGGAAATGATTTGCGAGCGATAAATAAATTGTCCTCAGACGGATCTTTAATATAGTCTGTAAACGGGTTAATTTGGGGTATGAGGATATCATTTGCACTAGAAATCTTTGTTATTGTGTTAGCTGGACTCAAATATGTTCAACCATACAGACGGTACTGACCTCTATTCCGAAATTGTTTGCATTACTTAAAATTGAGTTTCTATACAATACTAATGGCGCGTTCTCTAATTTTGGCTGATTTTTCTGCTGTAGCTCCTTGCCTCTGTATTTTTTCTTGCTGTTGGGTTTAGGCGAACAGGTATCAGTAACACTATCATATTGAAATGGGGTTGAGGAGCTTGTGCAAGGAATTAAACTTTCAGTAGAAGTTGAGCAGTAATTAAGTTTCTTATTGGTTTTTTCTGTACCATGCTCGTATTTCTTTCTAGTTTGGGATAAAACCCTTTCGGCCTTGCTACTTTTCCTCCCTTCTTTCTTTATCGGAGAGGGGCTTTTGTCCAATTCCGAAGGTGTAACAGATTGAAGTGAGATAAACTGGTCATGCGTGAGGAGCTGGTGATGTCCAACTTCCTTATACCTTGCATTATGGTTCTGCGTTTCATCCGCTTTTAAGTATCGGCTTTCAAGTAGCTCAAGGTTACTATCGTTGTCTGAATCTTCCCTTGATTTAAATCTTTTTACTTTAGATACATGACCCTGACTGTGACTGTTACTTAAAGGCAAAGAAATTTGAGAAGAATGAAGAATCTTGAGTGTGTTTTTGTAACAATTTTTTGTTGATCCTTTAGGGTTTTTGTGGGAATCTTTACTAGAAGGGTTTGCTTGAAGGTAATTTTTCTCTTTAAATGGAAATTTCACTACTTCATACGCCTTATTTGCGGTATTTGTCAGTAAATCAGGTCCCAGCACCAGGCTTTCGGAAGAGTCTGCTTGGCAAATTTCGGGTAGGGGCATCTCTTCATTAAATGCCTGGTAAATTTCTTTTTTCTGTCTAAACTTTGGTTTCTTAAATTTTACTGGTTTCAGACATTCATCTTGCAAGTCTACGAATACTTCAATAGACGTAGAAATTTTGTCTGTATCTTGCGTTAAGTCGCCAGCTCCAGTGATTTTGTCACTATAAATATCAGCAGTGTCTAGAGCACCCAGAAATCCCCTAGTTTTATACTCTTTATGCTTAGAGTTACCGATTGGGACAACTCTGCTTTCTAGGATTTGAGAAATCTTTGCTGTGGCAGATGGTTCTCTAACATCCATCTCTGAAGAAGACTGAGTACCATAATTATTACTTAAAAATTCAAACGAGTCAATTGGAACAGAAACACGTTCAACTTCTGTAGAAGACTCTTCAGATTCCGTGTGATTTTGGAATCGGCCCTGAGATTTAGAAGCTGAAAAGCTTGTGGTTTGATGCCGTTTACTAGGAATTTTTCTAGGATCTTTGTTTATTACTTGTATCGCAGAAGATAGAGCCTTGTTTGCTCTTCTGTAGGAAGGTTGATCGCTTTTTCTAGATCCTCTCTTGTAGATACTGGATTCAGTAGTCTCAGGATTGTTATTTGTGGAAATAGCATCCAAGCTGGAAGCATTTACTATGCCTTCACCTCTTGGATCAAAATTCTTACTTTCACTTGAAGGAATAATATATGAAAAATCAACATTTGGAACGAGGTAAGAGGAAAGATCACTATTTTGTCTCGTCTTGTAATGTATTCCCTCTTTCTTTTGAAACAAAGCATTCTTAAACACGTTTACATCAATATCTTTCCGAGAGTTTAACGAACTCATAGACTCCATTGAACTCGATAAACTAATATCCTTCTTTCTGCTATCCTCGTCCAAATCTTCTGCATTAGATATGTAAGCCTCGTTACAGTTTTCGTGACTTTCCGTTGAGGCCTCTGGTAATGCAATGTGATTTAGTCTAGCGATTTTTATATCTTTACCCCTTGATTTTCGTCCCTTATTAAATTTTTGCTTATTTTTCGAGTCCTTTGGCGAAACGCTTCTCGATAAAGATAGCACATCCTGCCAACCTTGATCCCTAGCTCTAGTTTCATTTAGATAATACTCATTGCTTACATTTTCATATTCTGGAGTCCTTGCACTATATAAATCTAGGTCTGATACAGTCTCTGCATATGGGGCGTGATAAAAGACCTCTAAATTTTCGGAGCTATGCTTTTTATTATTTTGATGGAAAGTAAGATTATCAATGACAATATTAGGGTCGAATCCAGTATCTTGTAGACCTGCAGCCAATGTCGCGGTAAAATCAAAATCATCCTGAAATGCGCCAGGAATATTAGTGATTGATTCTAACTTCTCCGGAAGTCTACTTGGAAAGACTTTTGGATTTTCTTTCTGTGGACTATTTTCAAATACATGCTCTTCTAAATCGCTTATTTTATTCGGTCGGTCACTCTTGGCAATATAGTAGTTGTACTTGCTTTTTCTCAAGACTCCGTGAGTACTGTCTGCTCCTGTTGCAATATTCCTTCCTCCCATACTTTTATTTGCGTTATTGAAAGGGCTTTCTCTTACCTTATTTGTATTGTAGTCAAACTCACTGTCTGAATATTCGAGAGCCTCTTTATCAGGGTTATCGAAATATTCGTCTTGATTTTCAGATAGAGATTCAACCTCATAATGCTTGGTCTCATTTCGTCCCCAAGTGACACCTTTTGATGTGCTAGGCTGTCTTGACTTGGGAACGCTTTTATTTTTAGGACTATGAATGGATTCAATAATTGGCTGTCTTTTTTTCTCACTGTGAATGTAAGTAGGACTCTGCCGATCAAGCATCACATCTTTCCCCATTTCTGTTGAAGGTAATAAGGTTGATTGGACAGAATTTAGAATTGGGCTTGTTTCAATTGATTCAGCATCTAGCTTCTGAGGATCTTCATCATGTGAATGTACAAACCTATTCTTTGGAGAGTTGATATTCTGAAGCTTTTCTTGACGTTCGGGAACATCATCAGACGTTGAATTAGTATCAGGAGCGACGTAATATTTTCCATGCACCTGACGATCATCCATTTCGGATTTGGCAACAGATGCGGTAGTTACGTATTTTCCTGACTTTTTTCTAAAATTTACACCAGAAGAGAGCGTCGGAGGAGTTGAATTTGGGCGAACGTTCGTTACAATCTTACGCATGGATGAAGTCTCGGGTGAAGTCTTATTAGAGCCTGGGATATCGAGATTGTGTCGAGGCATACTACTGAGCTGAGATTCTATGTTTTTGTAGTCAAATCCGGGCCTCCTGTCCACTAATTTTCCTGAATTTGTATCTTTTGGATGTGCTTTAGCAGTAATATCTTGCTCTCTAGTGTTAGTTACCGTAGCAAGATCATCATTCGAGTACTTCTTCTCTTGTTGATTCTCGTTAGCTTCGAAAAAAGGTTGACCAGTCTGATTTTTGCTATGATTATGAAAGTAATCACAGCTATGAGGGTATCTTTGTACTGGATGTTGATACCTTAAGTCTTTTTGAGTTGAAAGGTTGTCAGTAGGCAAAAATTCTAGACCTTTCCGTTGAACAAGATTCTGGGTTGTTATCGGGGCTTCAGTATTTCGCATTATTTGAAATTGGAGGGGGTTATTGATAACTGTAGCAGGAGGTATATGGTTTATCGGGTTGATTTGGAATTCTGAATATTTATCAAGTTGCATTCCATTTTCTGGATTTTTATGCAGGCCAGTTTTGTTTTGGGGTGTTCTTTTATCATTTGATAATATTCGACCTTTTATATCAATCTGACGGCTACTTTCTGGCTCAGGGCCGTATCTATTAGAAAACGGTTTGGTTTCTTGATCTCTTCCATTGTCCCGTATTTCCTTACTCTTACGGCGCTCAATCTCCATTTGAATGGCAAGCTTCGCTCTATCACGTCTTTGAGATTCATGTCTCTCTTTATTTTGAAGCTCTATCCGTTCTCGCTCTATCTCGGCTAATCTTAGCTCACAACGCTGAATTTCGTCTCCTGATTCCAAGCTTTTTCTATGCTCTTCCTGGGGGAGCTGGTGTAATTTTTGGTGGTCAAGATCTCGCTTTGAAGTTTCTGACCGTCTCAACTGTACATTAGAATTCATGGCATTTGTAAAACTCTGAGGCCAATATTCCTCATCTGGCAAGCTGGGAAGAGTTTCGATGTGAGCGTTGTAAATCGGCCCATACAGGCTCGAAGAGACAGGCGTTACTGGCTGGGGTTGTATAATTTGAAGTGGGGGTGGATTGAATGGTTGGGGAAGTAGAGGATTTTCTTGTCTGGAAGTTGCATTTCTTCCTGATTGATTAGAAAGGTTATGGGGACTATTAGTATGTAATTTAACTTCAGCCGCTTTAAAATTGCTTGTGTGATTGGAATCAAATTTGTTCTGTGTGTTAAGGTCTCGCTTTTGGCTTAATTCATTGGTACCCACGTTGGCCGATAAATAGTCGTAGTTCTGATAGTTCTTTTTATTAGCAGTCCATGGAGGAATTTCATCAGAGCCGACAGCTTTATCAACATAGTTCGGGGTTCTACTTTGCGATCTAGGATGAAGGATTCTCTCCGGGGAAGGGTCTCTAAAGTTTTTATCGATTTTCTTCTTGCCGAAAAACATCCAGCTTGGTGATGGTTCATTTTCATAGGCAAGTCTCGAGTCCACAGACGAGCTAGAGTCACTGCTAGAGGTTGATTCCCAACTACTCTCAGAAAATTTATCAAAAATCAGGGGGCTTTCTGGAGATTTTGGGACATGATTGCTCTGAAATCCACGACCATGCCGGTCACTGGCCGGTCTTGTTGTTGTCTTATTTTGATGAGCCGCTATTCTTGCTAACCCAGATCCAATAGCTAGTATACTCGCTGTCGTGCTAGTAGCGTCCTGCTGTCTTCGCGAAAATTTGCCAGTCTTTTTTGATGGATGAAGTTTCTGGTCTTTGCCCAGCAAATTATTCCCAATAAAATCATTTCCTTGAGGGTCATTGTAATTTCTTGGAAATTCTTCGCTTAACCCAGACCTTTTCTCATAATGGTCTTTAGTGCTAGCTCTATTCCGTTCACAGTCTGCCTGTCGAATTCTTTCTTGTACCTTGTGCCTCTTCTTTCGGCTTCTCGGGAGCTTGATAAAGCCTGTACCGTAGGCTAGATCACTGTCGACAGATGAGCTGCTATTGCTACTACTACTGCTACCACTTCCACCTCTGAAGCGAAAAAAATGTTTCCTTGTCTTTTCCTTCTTCAATTTTTGCTTTTGCTCAGAGGGTGCTGTAAAAAATGTTCTGATCCTACTTTTACGCGCAGGAATTGATCGCGATATTTCCAAGTAAGATGAACTAGAGCTTGTAGAGGACTTTTCGATGGATATAGGTGACTGTGAATGTGAACGTTGCGAATTATGGGTTGGGGAGGATGGATGAGACTGGACTGGTGCTACCTGCGTCCTTGAATGGTCTGAAATGCTCATGGCGATAGGGGAAAAATATCGTGGCGAAGCTGGCGCTGTGTCGCCATTAACATCCTCTATCGACTGGAATCTCGGCTCCGAATGTCGCGACTCATCCTGTGGTAATCTGCGACTAGAGTTGTGAGATTCTCGGCGCTGACGGCCTGCCATATGGGTTGATTGTATTACACTTAAATAGTAAGTATTTTAAGCTTAGTGCGGCTCGGGACATCTAGATGGTGGCAGAAGACGACCACTCGATAGTTTGACGAATGCAATAGAACAGAGGAAAAAAGTATATTATGAATTATTTGATGATTTAACAAGAGCTCATCGAAGGGACAGACATGAAGCTATGAACAAAACAAGCACATGAGCTGTTGCGCCTTGGTGGGTTTACGGGAAATTGGATTTATCTATGTCACATGCCTGTTATCACTCCACCAATAGAGAGCAAACAACTCATATGATAACGATCATTATTTCAATAGGCCATGCAGACACTCCAAGCGCCCATGTTCTCTGCGGTGAATCATCCGCTCCAATATAGAGCACTGAGATCTCACGAATTTCAAAATTGGCTACGATCAGAAATAGTCGCCGAAATATGCGTTACTCCCCTTATCCGTTCCTAAGTCACCACACAAACCGCCCCCAATATCCAAAATACAAATAGGAAAACGATCATCGATCTCGGCGCTCTCCAGAGCTGATCTCAAAATGGTCGACGAAATTTCAACTAAGGCACCAATTAGCAAATCCTGCCACTATACCGATAGACTCTACTGGGAAGAACCTTAAACCAGGCAGCAATAGCTTAACATGAAAGTATACATCCTGATTTACCACGATTTATTACATAATCTATTCCCAGACTGAACATATAACGGCATAATCCAACTGGCACCTCTCAACAGCGTCAACTCAGGACGAAGGCTGAAAGCCTGTCAGTGGCGTCCTCCAAGAACCTGGGAGTGAAATATTCTCCCAGAGCTGAGATTCAGTTGAGAAAAAGGGGGTGATAAATTTCATGATAGATTTTTGGCTTGAAGGAGTTGTACTCAGTATTTTGGTCGAAAAATCAGTCGACATAGATTTCACAACCGCAAGAAAGTCGAACAAAAACTTATCACCACCAACATACGATTCACGAATGGGCTTAGGTCTGTCTGGGGGTCGTATCCAAACACCCGATATCTCTCAAACTCCTTACATATTTGCGACGCAGCATTTCACGATCGATCATACACCTGCGACCCACTTCCATACTCGTCCGATCACCTACCTACACACGCCTTATTGAGGAAAGTCATGATGGAAACGGGACGCGTACAAAGGATAAATAAAAAGTGAACATATACCGAGGGGATTACACTTTTATGCAGGATATCAGATCCTCAATGACAACGACAACCCAACGGTACGATATGAAGGTGCAAGGCTAGAGCAACTATGAGATCTGAGATGACGTTTATATTTCGGAATCAGTGAGGATGTCAAGGGCTTGGGCGCGTGGTGGCCGGGGCTGAGGGTAGAATTTGCGCCTCGGCGTCTATACAGCGGGTTTCTAGACCGTCGGGCTTGGTATGATTCAACACATAAGTGAAGTCTGAGGTGGTTCGATCATTTAGGTGAGATGAGGTTTATTGTACTTATATGGCAGTTAACCTGATCCAGCTCGTCCCCAGTCGTGTTTAAGCTCCAGTAGGAGTCCGAGGGTGCCAATTGCCTAGCACGTTAATGAACAACAAAACAAAAAACTGCACCATTCGAGAAATTCGAAGATTCCCTTTCTCACTTCTTTCACCCCTCTCGAACTCGTCGCATCCTGCCTTGAATTGTGATTGAGCTCTAGGCGTTTTCACTACGCCTCCAGTTCGTAAAAAGCGACCAAAAGTCTTTTTGGACAACAAGAGAGTCCGCCCGAGGACTCTCGTACAAACGCCGGGCCTTTCTCAGTCTTCAAAATACGTGGAGACTAGCAAAGTCTCAACAAAAGGGAAGGAAAAATCCCTCCTCGCCGGGCGAACCCTCTTCCAAAAGCTCTCGTAGCCAGGAGCCCAATTTTACCTGCCTCCCCAACATAGCCTTCAAAAGAGACCTGGGCCACGGTGGCCAGACACGGACTGCGACAAAAAGCAGTCCGCACTGCAAAGGCTTTGACGCAACTTGTTATCACAACCTCGAAAAAAGAAGCTTCCAAGGCGAAAGTCGACAATCGACTGCTCCTTCGCCTTGAAGGCGACTATCTATGGCGGAAACTATCTCACCTGGGTGTTAAAGCTGCTATCGAGGAACACATCCGCGACGGCAATCACATCGACTCAATTTATCGATTCAAGTCGGGATTTACCTTTCTAACAAATTCCAAAGAAAATACACAGGTCCTTCTATATGCGTAGTCGATATTGGCGAGACTTAACATCAAACTCGAACTATCTTCGAGCCTTGTCGCTGTTAGGATACCTAACGTGCCCATCAAGGCCAAAATAGCGCACGAAGGTGTGCCGCTCTGCGAAATGTGAGTCGCTAGCGAAATTGAACGAGTGACCGGCAAAGTGCCAGTCCAAGTGCGGCCTCATGAGACATGCTATTCAGGGACACCACACTACAACCAGCGTACCTTTCTCCTGGACTCTGCTCCTCGTGCGGGTTTCCGCCTTTTGACGAATCCAGAATGGCCACCATACACTGTTACGGGTTTTACCCAGTGTTAGTTGGATGGGCTGACTTACGGGCCCAGCCTTGCATGTAAGTGGGATGTGACAAATGGGTCTGTCTATTGCAGCAGGTTAGACGCTTAGTAAGTACTTATGTAAGGTAGTCATCAGCACACACCTTACATTGGCTCTGTCCTACTGAAGTGTTCTCTCCATAGAAAATATAGATTATTTTATGGCAGCCTTTGCATGCAGCGTCTGTGATTCCCGTCCTTTAAAATCCACAAACCTCGTCGAAAAATTGAACAGTGCAAACGCTATTTGGGCTTCCACGCCACCTGAGGTTGCTCCCGCACACTAGCCTGCTGGAACTGTTGGGGATCCACCCGATCGGATTCCAGGAACTGCCAAGCTGACCTAGAGAGTCCGGACCAGTGATAGTTGAGCAACTCGCGTGGACTCGCCACGTCAAGCAAGGGAGTTTCGCGGTGGTAGCATGAGCCTGGGCTGCAGCCAAAAGGGCCGAAGAGGCGATCATCGCCTCATCAAAAAATGTCTCGATGGCCGAGTAATTAGTTTTCAGAATGCTGTAATCTGAACAAGAAGCTTGAGGACATAGCGACCTTGACGATATCTTTTTTAGACATTTACTAACCAATAACAGAACATCAGGTGCATCAAAAGTGCCTGCTAACCCATCTCTTGCTCTCGGCAGATATTGAGAAAATTTGTTATTTAGAAGGTATGATGGGTGAAGAAATATGTGAGGAGCGCATTGCTTGGGTCCAATATGGAGGAATCTTCTGACTTTCGGATTTGTTTTGATTTTAGTGATTTTTCGCTTCTGTTTAATCAGTTGCACCTTTGGCAGCGATTTCAAGAGGTTGAAACGAGTTTAGGCTGTAGGAAAAACCACATGACTTCCTGCCGGCCCCACCGGTCCTTCACCAATTGTGAATAAATAGCGTTAGCTTAGGACTAAATGAATATTAAAAAAACAACCAACTGTAAATGAGGAAGCCGTTATGGCGATCGTTGCAGAAAAACAAATATATCCTGCTAAATCATTTACAATAGACTCAGATGATGATTCCATGGATTCAGAATCAACAGTTAAATATTTTCCTTTCTCGATACCTGCGACCAAGGTACCGAATAAGAATCCGAAGCCCTTTGCTTCAAAGAATTCAAAACCAAATCCTAGTCAAGGTCTTTTTAGCTCTATACACGCGGCTGCCAAACCCCAAGCTAAATGCGAGCTAGATTCAATCACTAGCTCATCACCACGCGTTATTCGTCACCCCTCAGGGGCCATGATCAACGATATCGCTGTATCATTGTTGGCGTGAAAAAATGCCGGAGCGCAACACTTGCGTGCCCTTCCTCCAGCTTTTGCAGAAGACTTAAAAGCCATTGTGACGCGTAGCGCTGCTCAGGTAATTGTTGGCCTCCCAGCCTTCGAGGAGTCAATTACTACCTCTTGTTGGAAATTCAGACTCTGTGTGTCTGAAGTTTCCTTATGATTGGAACAACTAGGATTCTCACACGTGACGCACGGCCTGACTCACGACCAAGATGATTGATATCTTCTTCATTAAGCATGTTTGATGCGTGAGCCTCGACTAGTGTATGGCATGGTTTGATATCCGCGAGGTAGGCTCTCATCCACCGATTGCGACCCCATACTCATGTTGTATACTGTTGTGCGATTCATTGTCATTGTTAGAGTATGGAACGAGTGGTGGATGGTATCTAATTTGGTTTTGGTTTATCAAGAATACATGTATGTAAGCTGTCAAGAAATCACCAAGACAGATAATCAATTAATAAATTCAATCTATTCTATCCAGCTCTTCTATTTTCATAGTTTACCGCATATTCTCCCGATTCATCTCGGTTTTATTCTATTCGTAAATCGCGCATATACTCTTTGAGCTACCTTACTCAACGAGCCCATACCTATTTTCCAACACTCAACCCAATACTATTGCAAAAATAGACTCTCTACCTGCTCGGGCAAATACGGTGAAAAAAGGCGCGCATTCCCGAAATAAACCATCCAAAGTCGCATAGAAAACTAGTCTTGCTGTAGTAAGGCCTAGGCTCGATTCGAGAGTCACGGTCCGACTAGCACTGGAACACCCACTTTGACACGAAGACTCTTTTCGTCCGCACGAAGCTGAGAAGTCTTCTAGAACTTCCAGAGCTAATCAAGCACATCTATTCCGTTCCATATAGCATCGCCCTCGTAGCTCCCTCTCTGGATCAGGCTCCAGAACTCGTTCAAGCAGCTGTGGCAGGAATTGTTCCAATCGAAAGGTAGGAAAAACAAGCAAACTTCTTTCTCAGCTCGATTCCAAA